GTACATACAGTCGAGCATCATTCCCTTTACCAATCTCTATAGCATGCTCACTGTCAAGGGTGCTGGGTGTTCCCAGTTGCCAGTAAGGAACACATGGGTTGAGGGAACACGTGGGTTGAAGCCAGCTCAAGCCTGTTGCTCTCCTCAGAGTTGATTTTTCTGGGTGTTCAGTTTTTATGCTCTCTGTTGGGCTGAGCCAAATACACACATCCCGGTGTTGGTGTGACTGACTCAGGAAGTAGATTATTATTAATAATTTGTACATTATTTTATGGAGGGCCATTTACATAACCAGTTGACCCACTCAACTGATACATTTGATTGTCTACGTCAAAGGTCATCTCTGGTCCCCTTGGTGTTGGGATTAGTTCAGCTGCTTTGGTGACAGGTGTGGTCACTGCATGTATTCTTTTCTGAGCTTCATGAGCACACCATCCTTGCTTGACTTCTCGGAGCCACCTCCTGTTGAAGGGGTTCATTGACCAGTCACAGGATTAACTTGTAAAATAATTATTCTAAGAAGCGATTTAAAATAAAATAGACTTCTTGAGATTTTTATTTAACAACACCGAGTGATAAGAAAGAGAGCCAAAAGCCTCTAGTAGAACTGTTGGTATTTTTTTGACTACCACAAATTGTAGAGTTTGAACAAAATCTCACAAATAATAAAACCGGAGTTTAGATAGAGTAAAACACATTGGTTGTCTCAGCGTATATTCCTATTCATACCATGAAGTTCTTTTTCTGAACTTTAGTGTACCTTGGTTTATAGGTGATTGTTTTGGTGTTTTCTTCCCTCTTGCCTGACTAGGTATGGTAGAGAAATGAGCAGGGTTCTCCTGCATTATTTTAGCAGTCTTGGGTTGGGAATGAAATGTGCTCATTGATGCCAACTGTGAAGATCTGATTCCTGCAGAGGCTTGTCTTGTCCTTTTTCTGCCAGCACAGTTTTTTTTTCTGCCTCTGCTAAAGTGAGAGTTGTCTTTCCTGCACTCGTGAAATGCTTGCTCCACTTAACTTGGATCATGGGAGGGAAAGAGATCATCATAGATACCTGTGCCTCAGATAGCAATTGGCAAGAGCTGAACTTAGAGCTGCTGTACAGAGAACATGCTTTATCTTTTATGGGATAGCAAATCAGAGCTATGGTTGCAGTTGGCAGTATCTTTTATTTACCTTTTATCGTGTAATAGCCAAGCTTTGCAAACTCCCCATTTTTGTTCATTCTTGTCCCTCTGCATGCTCTGGACTGTATCTGTATTATCTGTGGCAGTGTTCTGTATGAAGGTTAATTGTTAGTGTGCTTATATCATCACTAAGCTACTGATTTTCTCTGTTTTATGTTTGAACTACTGGCCAGTTTAATATGACAGAAAATACCTGGAAATAGGTTCTTGTTGTTCAGGCTGTAAAAGTTTGTATATGCTGTGTATTTTGTCTTTATAACTGGGGCTCCTTCTTAGGTGAACTGAGAATTTTTTCATTTTCAGAAGAAAAAAAGGAAAATGACTTCATAAAATGATGACTGTCAGGAAGTGTTGGGTCTGATCCAGTTATGCCAATCAGTTAAACTGTGAGCATGCAGGAGGTGGGAAAGGGGACATGGCTCACAGCACACTCTTCCAACTGCTGCAGTCAAACTGTTGGGCCCATCTGCCTGAGATCACAGTGATCTAGGATGAAGCGTGTAATCATTGCCCCAAATACTGGGAACTACACAGCCACATTGGGGGGTGCCTGAGTTGCTGTATTTCAGTGATGGGGACCATTAGGAAAACTAGGAGAGATTAAGGAATTATCTATCTAGAATAAACCTTGGGAGGAATAAGGAGGATGTAGATACTGATTGTACATTTCAAACTGAAAGACTTTTCAATCTGGATTTCTGTGGAAGGGAAGGGAAAGAATGATGATCAAAATTTTAAAAAGGAAATTTAAACTGCAAAGGGAAAGTAGGCAAGGCTTTCCTTAGGTTATGTCAGATGCTGCTTGCTTAGAATTTCACCCACAAGGCTGCTGCTTTTCCAGTCCTCTTACCAGGTCACTGATGTTGAAAAAAGTGGCAACAAAGACACCCCACCACGCATGCAGTGTAGCAGCGTGTTCTTTTTTTAATCTTCTTTTGGATGAGAATGTTTGTATGTGGTTCAATACAAATATTTATGGAAGGGTTTTAAATAAAAGATGGGAAAAGCCTGGAGCATATACTGCAGGTTAGTGTCTGAACTGGAACAAGTGAAAGCTTTCATCTTTATGTAATTGTTCTTGCATTTTTAGAGGCCCCTAAGAAGACAGTCTCATTCTGCTCTTCACCAGAGGTGGATTCAATGCTTTCTTTCCTCGAGGAGGCTTGGCAAAGTGCAGAGTGTCAAGGTGGGCAGATTGGAAGAATCTGGCATGGGAGGCACTGCAGAGCCCTCATAAAGTGAAGCTGCTGGGGGTGACAACCCACTTCCCTTCCTTGTACCTCCTCAGCTCTATAAAGTAATGTGGGTTTAAGAACTCCCTCTTTTTTGGGGACAAAAGTCTACCTTTCTGACCTTCAACAGTAGCCAAAGGAGTGCAGCTGTGTCTGCTCTGCCAGCATGAATATATGGAGTGTTTCACCCATGAAAGACCAGAAAGTATTAGTTTCCCTTTTAACCTGTTTCATGGTGTCTGTGCTTTGTGAGGTGTAGAGATCTAACAAACAGGGGAGGGAGAACCTTCCTATAAAGTTTGCTGGTGAGGGGGGACATTTACAGCAGCTATGTTGTTAATGAAGCCATAGTGGAGATGACATTCTGCTCATCAGGTATGCTGCTAGTAAATCTGAAGGTAGTGCATCAATAACTACTACATATTTAATTTGCTGAACATGAAGCATTTATTTATGTGAGCAATACATTAATAAGTCGCAAAGTTATACACTAAATTTATGTAGAAATATATTCCCCCCCCCCACTCCAGCACACCAGTCAACTGAATCAGGGCAAGAACTCTCAGTCCAAATAATGACTAACGGCAGCTACAACATACCACTAAACAAACTTGCTTCTTGCAAACTCTCTGAAGTCTTGCTTGAAGACCCTGATTTTAGGTACACAAACATTATGCTGCAGTTGTAGGCTACTATAAAGAACTTTCACTCTGCAAGTTAAACTGGATAGTGTTTTTTCTCTCAAAGTGCATAGCAGCAGCTGTCTAATTTCTCAGTGGGAGGAGCTCACTGACATCTAGGGGTTCTTTTTTCTTCATAAAAAGTTATCTGTGAAGACTTTGAGCATTCTATCACCAGTACATCAACTGACATAGGTGTGTTCCACTTCTGGTGCAGACATGCATTAGATTTGTTCTAACTTAGAAATTAAGGAAGCTTCTTACCCAT